GCAGGAATGTGACCCACTCTCAATATAAAATGCATTGATTATAGCACTTTTAAAAGAAAAGAACGGAAGATAAAAGAAGAATAAATCAAATCAAAATCAAATCAAATCAATGTCTTTACCGGTAGCAGGGAGTCTTCTGTCCGTGTGGTATTTCTGTGGAAATTTGAAGATTCCCGGAGATGACTTGTTGAAGAGGCAGATGTGACGACACCCTTCAAAGAAATGACATACAGATGCCAGAACGATGTTGGCGATATCTCAATCACAAATGAAAAGAACTGTCATTAAAACCATCACCCTTTTAAGTAAGGAAATTCAACTCACCTCATTTACATTTTCAAATGCATTGATGATATCATAGGGCAGGCAGGACAGCAAATCAATGACAAACCACGTCTTCAGATAGTTCATTCGAATCAGCTTCGCGTCTGAAATGACCTCTCCGGCGGGACCGACGAACGTCGTGTGGAAGTTGAGCACAATGTCAGTCAGGAAGATGACGTCCACTACGCTGTCCAGCACCAGCCAAGGCAAATTGGTATGCTTGGTCCTAAAGGAGACGTTATAGGGCACCATGATGGCAGTGTAGAAAGTGAGGATGAGGATGACCCAGTCCCAAGTGGTCTTGAAGGCGCAGTAGTGGAGGATGATGTGTGGAGGGGTCTTTGGGGCCTCTTGTTTGTACTGAGGGAGAATATCTGATCCCAGCTGGAGAGCCTTTCATTGAGAAGGAATATAGGCCACCATGAGTACAGAAGCATACTGTATCAAGGAACACCCGGCCTTACATCACAGTACAAATACTTTATCATCAGTGATGCTCAGTGGGTTCCAGAAATCCTTACAAAATAACAAGGAGCTGTGTTTTTGTTATAATACCCTTTTCTATCACTAGTCCAATTCAGTGTCTTCATTCTTTTGTCAGCTAAGAAGCATATTAAGTTGCTGCTGTCAGTCAAAGATGTGTAGGGGCATAAAAAATGTCTCGGCACTGGTGATAACTGCAGCCGGAGGTATTATGTTTTCAGGTTGTCCGTCCGGCCAATTCTTGTGAACGCGAAAAATCAGGAACGCCTTGAGAGAATTTCTTCAATTTTGGCATAGGTGTCCACTTGTTCACTCAAGAATGAGCTGATTAAATTTTGGTGGTCAAAGGTCAGTGACCTCGTGTCTGTCCTATTCCCATAAATTTGACAGGTTGGTGGGGGTATACAACCATGAAACGGTAATTCTATTTTAGCCATGTTTCATATCAGTTTCTCTCAGTTACGGCAGAGTCTAGAAAGGACCTGTTTGACTCTGAGAAGCTTAAGCCTAATTGGACTCCATGCTAACTGGGTTGGTAATACTGATATTTCATCCACTTGTCTCCATTCCTTTACAACAATATAGACCCAAAAATGCAAAGAAATGCTGTGTTTTGTAACTGCTAGAGGATTTTTGGGTGGTTTATCCTTTAAACTGTGAGGCACATTATGTCTTGACTGGAAAGTTCCTGGTCCTTTACAGACTCTAGACCTTCTGTTTTTAAGGCATTTAACTTGAGGTATTTTTAAATGGAAGCAATGATTTTGAAAACAACGTCCTGTCTTAGACGTGGACGCTGCTCACCTCAGCCAGTCGGGAAGGCTTGTGGCTGACCTCATTCTTGCTCAGTGGTGCTAACTGCTGCACCAGGTTACGGTTGTTGGTCAGTGCTCGGGTCAGTCTGGCAAACTTCGTCCATCCTGCTCAGAAGCAAGGATTTTTATTCAGTTACAAAGAACAACATGGTGTCCATGCCCTCTTTCACACAAATGCAAATTCATTCAATCCTCTGTGTATAAGGAGTATTTTCATACATGTACCTTTCTTACACAGTGTGATCTGAGTGCCCTTTGTTTCTGCTTGATGTATGTAACATATTTAGTAGCACATTGAATCCCCAGGGACATGGCACTGCTTAGTCCGACAGAGACCACAGTTCACTAACCCGCGCACACAACATCTGGACAGTTATACTCTGTTACATACCAGGAACCACACGTCTGATAAGTCACGGCCACTCGTGCATAAGACTTTTAGCTGGACTGCACTTTCCATTGTTTTATAAAGTAAATGTAAGCTTTCTTTGTAATGGCTGGGCTTTAAGTTAAATACAAGTCCTAATATTTCAGTATAAAATGTCATGATTACAGTGAAACACTGAATACAAACTTTCTCACCCTTTGTTGATTCATCTTCAATCGGCTGTTTGAAAAGTGTAATGTCTCTGAAGGTACAGAGGAAAAGCACCACCTTGTCATTTTCGTTTCTGATTGGAGCCACCTGCATGTACAGCCATATCGGTGTTCCTGAAGGAAACAATTCAAATGGAAAATTCTACCTGAACAAAAAGATACTCGACTAGGCTTGTCAATCTTTTATCGTGTACTTTATAATTTCAATACAAACATCAGATTCAACCGTGATACTCACCATCTTTTGTATAGAGTAGCACTTCATAGAAATTGGACTCATAGCTGTCAAAGGTTTGTTTGATTTTGTCTATGGTCCTTTTATCAGTCAGGTCACCATACATGAAACTGCAAAAATAATAGAGAAACAGGCTGTTGCTATAACTGGTGAAAGAAAGGCAGAGGAAGACAGCTGAAGTGGAATAAGCAATCATGCAACATGTGCATTTTTGTAGCAATAACAAAAGAGGCATAGTATTTTATTACTGTTCTGTTCTAGAGAATTAATCATGTAAAAACCATCTACTGAACCCTGAAAAAAACTTTTTCAAGAACTCTGAAAATAACTGCAAGTATTACATGGATGAGCAGTTTAACAGAAATGTCAAGACTGAAAACAAATTATCACTAATTCACTTTAATAGCAGAAGTATAAAACAGTATCTTAGTAGTCTAAAACATTCTTTTACATGAGTTCTATGTTTTTGAAGCCCATAGTTGAAAAGGAAATTATAGAGATAGTGAATAAATGTGTTAACAAAACATCTAGTGATAGTGATGGCATCACTATGACAACTGTTAAATGGGTGATTGCGGAGATATGCAAACCATTAACCCATATTTTTAACATGTCGTTTCGACTTGGGCAGTTCCCCAATAATATGAAAATAGCAAAGGTTATTCCACTGTATAAATCTGGTGATAAGCACAACTTCACAAATTATAGACCGGTTTCTCTGTTGTCACAATTTTCAAAAATCTTGGAAAAACTCTTTATTAACAGATTAGATTCATTTATTAATAATCATAAAATCCTCTCTAATTGCCAATATGGTTTTAGGTAAAACCGGTAGACATCTTTGGCCATTACCGACCTGATAGAGGACATTACAAGTGCTATGGATGAGAAGAAATACACGGTGGGAATATTTATTGACCTAAAAAAAAGCATTTGACACAATCAATCATGAATTATTAATGGACAAGTTAGAAAAATATGGGATCAGAGGAAAGGTTCTGAAATGGATTAGAAGTTATTTGACACAATTTGTGAAGTTGGGTGAATACCAATCAAGTGAGCTGGATATTGTATGTGGAGTGCCTCAGGGTTCTGTTTTGGGACCTAACTTATTTTATATTATACATTAATGATATATGCAAGGTTTCTGATTTAGTGAAAGTGGTTTTGTTTGCTGATGACACTACCATATGGGCATCGGGTGAAAACCTACAGCAACTCTCTCGACGGGTTACACAGGAACTTGAGAAGATAAAGAAATGGTGTGATAGTAATATACTATCTCTGAATTTGGATAAAACTAAATTTATGGTATTTGGGAATCGTAGACTAGATAATGAACAATCAATTGAAAATTGGGGGAGCTAATATAGAACGAGTACATGAAATTAAATTTCTAGGTGTCATAGTTGATGACAAATTCTCCTGGAAATCTCATATCAGATATGTTCAGCACAAAATAGCAAAAAATATATCGATATTGGCAAGGGTTAGATATATTTTGGACAAGAAAGCATTACGCATTTTGTATTCTTCATTGATTTTACCATACTTAGAGTATGGCGTTGAAAACTGGGGAAACACATACAAAAGCTCACTTCAACCATTGTATATATTACAAAAAAGAGCAATAAGAATTGTGAAAGAATAAAATAATAAAAAATTTTTTAAAAAAACCCTCACATTCAGGCCATTATACTACAAAACATCATACTTGCACGTGCTGCTCCTGTGCATGACCTCAGCTCTGTGATATCCAGACAGCTTGCAGAATCCATCGTTGCTGTAGACAACGGGCCACTCCATGATCTGTGCGTTTCCCAGAAGGAAACTGGTCTCTGAAACAAAAACAGAATAAAGGAATACAGGGGTCTGAAACAAAACTAGTCACCTGCAGACTGCTGCACCTGTCAGTTAGCCATTAGAGTTTTGTCTCTGAAAGTCAGAGCATCATTATAATCACTGGAACTGAAACTGGAGTTATTTTTCTGCATTGCTACTGAAGTTCTAAATCTGAATTTGACATTTTCTTTTCCTTTAACAGTTTTCAATACATCATGTTGAGCAATGTCACAAATTAGCCACAACTTAGCATGCAACAACCATTTAAACCAGTATAAAGCAAACTCTCCCATTTCTAATATTCTTTATATAATCATGTATAATGTAAACAAGAAGCAAAAATCATTCATATTAAAAACACTAGTTAATAGCGGTAATCAGAAATAGTTCTTGATCAAATGTTTCCACCTTTAATGCAAATTAAATATTGATGATGAGGAGCTGCAACATTTTCTAGCTTTACAACAGTGTGGAACTGTAGAACTGCAGTCTCCACAGAGAAGACTGAGCACATTTGGTCCAAATTAAATTACACAATATTTCAGGGTCGGAGCTATTCAGATAATAATGACTACATTTCAGATTACTGTCACAAGCCAGATTTGCTTAAAATATATTTTTGAGGTGAGCAGACATTGTTTACAAACATTAACTCCATGATGCATTATCTTTGATTATACTAACATTATACTGTAATAAAACCTTCCAGTCTCATACATATTCACTCTCACTCTTAGACTGGGAATCTGCAAAATGGATTTCTAATAACACTACTGCAACTGTTGACTGTTTTGCTGAGATGAAATATTACTGCACCAGTGTGCTACTCAATGGGACTTCACTAACACGGATAAAACGCCATAAAGTGCGACTGTGCCGCCATAAACACAAATCTCATTATGCATCTGAATATGAAAATAGCAAAGGTTATTC